TGCACGCATGGTGAAGAGGGACGTGTGGAGCCACTTGCTGGTCTTATGATTGGCCATAAGTTAGCACATCACGTGTCGGTCACTTGATGAAGCCCGCCTAACCGGGCATAGCTGCAGATAACTAGCAGCCAAAACTGAGTAGGATCAAATCAATCAATCCGTGATACCCAAACTTGATTACGCCTCAACAGTGTGGTATAGACAAGGAAGAGTATGGCAGACGACAGTGCTCCGGAAGATCCAACGCATAGCGGCAATTAAAACCATCTCAGCGTTCCGTATAGTCTCCACTGACGCGCTCGAGATCGAATCAAGCCTTCTCCCAACACACCTTAGGCTCAGACAAAGGGCCCTAAATGTCCTAGGCAAACTTAAGACACTGCCTACTAACCACCTAATCTGGCCACTTGTCCACCCGAATACGCCAGCCCTAACCCGCAGCACAATGCAAAGCCCACTTATGCTTACAATAGCAACGGCGATAGAGAACAGGCTATTTCAGAAACTTGAAATTATCGACCCAGCACCACTCCCCCCATGGCGACGAACACCCTTCACAATAATAAAAACTATACGCAGCAGAGAAGAAGCTAAAATGACAACAAAGTCGCTGGTCTTAGCTGACCCTGGTTCAGTAATCTTCACAGATGGCTCAGGAAAAGAAGGGGAACTCGGCACAGCAGCAATTACACTAGGACCTAAGCAAAACATTAGGTATAAGGTAGCCGTCGGTGTAGGCTCGAATACCGGCTGGAATGTTTTTGCTGCTGAACTGATTGCAATATTCTTCACATTGCATATGATTCGTAGGGACTACAGTTGGAATACAGCTATACAGAAGCCGGCACGAAACCATTACACTATTTTAAGTGACTCTAAGGCAGCACTACAAGCAATAGCTAACCCATAGGCACGGACGGCGCAGCATATCACTCAAAGGATTAATATGGAAGCTGAGCGCCTTAGCAAGGGATGCGGCATCGACATACACCTTGCCTGGATCCCAGGGCATGAGGGTATCCAGGGAAACGAGCTCGCGGACCGGGAAGCTAAGGAAGCTGTGGAGAGGCCACTAGAACACCACTTCGCCCCGCTACTGTCCTCACAGAAGAAGATGGTCAAAGCTCTGATACAACGGCAATGGAGAGAAGAGTGGAAAGGCTCGCTAAAGGGCGAACATCTCCGCAAGATTGACCCTTCCCTACCAGGAAAACATGTGCGCAAGCTCTATGACACGAAAACACGCCCTCAAGCGAACCTGCTAGCTCAACTACGTACAGGCCACTCATGGCTAAAGAGCTATAGGAAAAGGTTTGGTAAAACCCAGGACGATAGCTGTGAATGTGGAGCGAGAGAGACGCTGGCACATGTGTTTCTTGACTGCCCAACTCTTCGAGGGCTACGACAACGACTGCGGAGGAGGATAGGACCCCGTCTTAATAGCTTATCATCTTTTATATCAGAGGATATAGTAGATGGAGAACTATATGCTATACTTGAATTTGCTGAAAAGTCTGGCAGGTTTTGTAACAGAGACCTTTCATAATAAAGCTCGGTCACCTTAACACTATAAATAGGATGAGAGAAGAGGTTACTACAGAAAGACAACTCTAAGCAGGAACAAAACTTCAGGAAATAGATCCATAAAGAGGAATGCAAATAGATCACATGACTTGTATGTAGCCTGCATATCCTAACTAGGATGGGTCAGGGTAAATGACAAATCAAATCAAATCAAATCAAAGCATGTAGATATCGATTTTCGAAAACCCTCAAATTGAAAATTCATCCAAGTTCTGTGGGTGCCGAACGATTGACGGACATATGAAGACTATCTCATGTTTCGAAAGGAAAAGTAAAAGCATACTAACGTATAATGCTGGATTTCTGCTCAAGTTATTGTCCATAACTTCTTCGTATGAAAACTTGCGTCAACCCGCCCGCTATCGGCTATGCATGTGTTTCCCAATTTGGAAGCGAGCATCCAGAAGTTAAGCTTGGACCTCAAGTTCGCTTTCTTCACTATGATGCGCTCGTCAGAGCTGAAATTTTTTCTTTTAAAAATTGAGGGGCCTAATTTGATCTAATTGTAGTCGATTAGATCTTGATTAACGTGCCATCTTCCAGCATCATTTGTAGGCAATCGAGCTTGCTCAACACTGCTGGGAACTCGCAAGCGCGATGGTGCAGCAAGGACAAGAGCTAACACCGGAAGAGAAACGGCTGCTGGACGAATACCCTCGACCAGACTGGCTTAGGCCGAAACTGAGGTGGCAATCTCTCAACGGACCATGGAGATTCGCTTTTGATGATCTCGATGAAGGCATGGGGAACGAATGGCACCACGATGGCATTCCTCCAGAGCATGTCAAGGAGATCCAGGTTCCCTATGTGTTTCAATCTAAAGCATCTGGAATTAACGATCGCGGTACACATGAGGTAATCTGGTACGAACGTCAAATCAACGATCTGAGACACCAAGGACAGCGCAGTCGTGGTGATCGGCTACTGTTAAGATTTGGCGCCGTGGATTATGAATGCAAGATATGGGTGGATGGGATAAAGGTTGGGGGCCATCGAGGAGGCCACACACCTTTTGAGGTTGACATTACGGACTGCTGGACAGAAAACGATCGCTCCGAGAAGAAACTTGTGATTAGAGTGTTCGACAGTGCGTACGACCTGATGCAACCTCGAGGAAAGCAGTATTGGAAACCAGACCCTGAAAGCATATGGTACACGCCTAGCAGCGGAATCTGGCAAAGCGTTTGGCTGGAGGTTGTGCCACGGATAAGAATAGGAGACTCTAGCAGCGGGACTACGTTTTGCAGCAACGACATCGAAACAGGGAAGATGAAAGCCACAATCTCTGTAATGGGACGGAGACGAGATCGAAAATTTGTAGCAGTCGAGATATCTGCGAAGTTCAAAGCTGCAGTTATTTCTTGGACGGAACAGAAAGAGCTCAGCAAGGAGAGCGACGAGGTACACATAGAACTGAACCTCAGGATCGAAGAGAAGATACTGCAGCAGCGTTTCGACGAAATCTTAGGCCGAGAAAGGGATAGAACTGATGCAACGTGGAACCACAAGCTAGCCGATGATGTAGCCTTGTTCGAGGAGGTCGACATAAAGGGCCTCAATAAGAGCGGGCCTCGGAACATCAAAGAAATCCCAGGCTGGAGGAACGGACTAGCCTTGTGGTCTCCCGAGAACCCGAACTTGTACGAGTTAACCATTCGCCTGTACGCAGACGAAGAAGGCAAAATCGATGAGGTCCGCACGTGGATAGGAGTACGTTCTCTCGACTGGACCTCTGGCGACGGGACCTTCAGGATAAATGGAGAACCCTACTTCCAATCCCTGGTCCTTGACCAAGGCTATTGGCCAGAGACGTTGATGACGCCACCTGACCGTACGGCGCTGAAGGATGACATCGTGCTCGCCAAGCAGATGGGCTTCAACGGATGTAGAAAGCACCAGAAGGTCGAGGATCCCATCTTTCTGCACTATGCAGACAAGCTGGGATATCTGGTCTGGGGGGAGATGGCCAATGCGTACGACTTCGACCAGAGATACGTCGAACGGTTCGATCAGGAGTGGAAAGAAGTAGTGCGACGCGACCTGAACCACGCATCCATCGTGACGTGGACGCCGATTAATGAGTCCTGGGGCTACACCGATTTGCCAGGCTGCGAAACACAGCGCAACCATGTCAAATCCCTTTACTACATGACAAAGTACGCCCTCCACACCTTCTACCTTCTTTCGCACCATCCAGCCGAGTACTAAAGTCGTTTCTGCAGAACAATCGATTCGACGCGGCCCATAAATGACAATTGCGGCTGGGAGCACGTTCTCACCGACCTGAGCACGTTCCATGATTATGCCGACGGGCCCGTCCTCGCTGAGACGTGCAAGACACTCGCGGGCTGCTTATCGCCCAAGTCAAACCGCGTCGTCTTCACCGGCGACTGCGCGCACAAGACAGGTGCCCCGGTGCTTTGCACTGAGTTCGGCGGGGTCAGCATCACGCCGTTCGAGGAGAAGGCCAGGTCTGGAGCGAAAGTCAAGGACTGGGGTTACACGACCGCTGCCGACCCTGCGGACCTTCTCAAGCGGCTCGAAATGCTCATCATGGCCGTGTCTGAGGGCGGTGTGTGCTGCGGGTTTGTATACACGCAGCTGACGGACATTGAGCAGGAGAGGAATGGTCTGTACACGTGGGATCGACGGCCGAAGCTGAAGGCGGAAGACGTCAAGCGCGTCATTGACCGCGCGAAGTGGTGGTTTTACGAATTGGAGATGAGGATCTAAATTGAGAAAGCAAGATGTTGCCTTTCTGGAAGGCTTTCAGCCCACGCTACAGTCATGTTCGATTGTTATGCTGTGCCCTGAAGAGTTCGAAGGCCTTTTTGTTAAAGACTAAGAAATTCCTATTTTAAAAAAAAGGCGAAATTTAAGTAAAGCTTGGTCATCTCTTGCCGACTATGCCTAAAAGACCTTCTCGTCCGCATCGTCCATCAACTTCTCGTTCACAGATCTGCGGCGTGTGGTATTGGCCCAAGGATGATCGCCGAGTTTGCCACAGGCAGCTCATTTATTCGCGTCTGTAGTGCAGCATTAAACTATAGAAATACGTTAGTGCCCGGTCCCTATACCTTTTCAAAGCTAAGCCTCAGGAAGCCAGTGTCAATTGCTCACCTTGAAAGCAAAGTTAAGAATCAGGGCAAAAAAAAGTCCAACACATACAGCCACAGGACCGGCCACTGAATCAAAGTCCTTGCCGCTGCGCGTCCGGATCAGTCGGTTGCGGTACACGTAGATGCCCCAACCCCACAGACCAGTGAAGACGGCGACAAGAGTGTACACGATGGCAAGCGCGCGAGCGATGTCGTTCGTCTCGCCCGCCGCGTTATACAAGCCTAGCCCTAGAGAAGCGAGGAGCACAGTAATGTGCTGCCACTTGACGAAGGTACGCTGGTTTGCCAACCAGACTTTCGCCTCAACGCGTACGGGGCCTTGATCCTTGATCCAGTATGTGGGCTTCTCGACGCCAGGGGGTAAGATCTCGCCACCTGCGCGGTGTGCCCGTGCATAGCGGGAGGTTGACCACGAGGGGAAGAGGCGGCCAAGAGATCGCAGTGCACCTACTTCTGCGCTGCGTTCCTGAGAAGATTGGAGATCGTCCTCGCCTGAATCCTCCTCAATGGTGTCTTCCTTGCCCGACTTTCCATTCGTGTCCTTGTCGACCCTCGTCATATCTGCCGTGACCTTGGGCAGGGACCCTGGAGTTTTATTGGGGGCAGACGAAGTAGCGATGGCCTTCGGACTAGACAATGGCACAAAGCTAGATCCCCTGCGGAATGGGCTCCCGCCCACAGGTGATTTGCCAAATAAGCTCCCCACAACGACATCGTCGGCCTCAAGTTGCCTGACACGTTCCTGCTCTTCCTCGAATGCCTCGCGCGGATCCCGTCGAATGTCTGTTTCTACCATGCTAAGCCAGAACGGAAACGCGTTCACGTAATCCTCGAACAGCTCCGCGACGCCATGCACGAACTTGCTAAAACGGGGGGCTTCCTTCACGAGATGAGAGGCCATGAGGTCTGTCACCCACTCATAGCGGCGACCGCCTTTGATCTTGAACTCCAGAACAGCATAGGGAAAGCGGTTGATTTCGCCCTTGCGGATGCCATTAAATGGGTATTCCATACCCTTATCATCAATGTCGGTTCGATGCCAGTCGTCCGGATCGCGACAGGGTCGGATGTAGTCGATAGCATCCTCACGGATAAAGGCTAGATTGGTGTCAAGAGATATCCGTATCCGGTCGTCACCTGGGATCTCAAAGGCGGTACGGGAGTAGTTGGCCCGAAGTACGGGCTGGAGCTGGTTTCCCCGAATAAATGCTTGGATTTCTGCAGCTTTATCCTTCAGCTCTAGAGCGCGGATTTCGTCACCCTTTTCTTGCAAGCGGGAGATTTGCTTCTCCATCTTATATTCGCCATCAATAAAAGACTTAATGTATTTTTCCTTGATGGCAAATCTACTCTCCTCGCTGATGTCACCGTCTTTGATGGTTTTCTTCTCCAGCATGATGTCTGGGTTTTCGCTAAGAGAACCATACCAGCGAAGACGTAACGAATCCGCAGGCGGCTGATGTGTGGTCTTTTTCATGTACAGTGAGAATTTGGAGTTGTCGAAGTAAATGGAGGTAACAGTGGGGTCCGGCTCGTTCCCTTGCGCAATCTTGGAGGTCTGAGGATTGTAGACGAGGACAGGCAAACGACGGAGGATAATGGTCTTTACTTCGAGGAGGTTGTCCGGATGGACCCAAACTTGTCAAAATAGTCAGTATAGCTTCGTGCAAGGCAAGACGAAGTACCTACACTTATACGAGACGTAACTGTCGGCACCAGGATACTCTTCCACAAAGGACATGCCTTTGTGGGTCCTGCCCTCCAAGCGTTGTCTCACAAATGAGTACATGGCAGAGAGCCTGTATAGCAGGGGCGAGTAATCTTCCTTGTAGAAAGGAAGCGCCGCCAACCTAACCTGAAGTAACGGGCGAACCCTGTAGGCATTGCCCCTCTTGCGGTCATGTTTCTTGCACGCCTTCAAGAAGCCAGTGTAGTTGATACGACTGTACTTCTCCAACTCGTTTGTCTCCTTTGTGATGCTGTCTAGCTTTTTCAGCACCTCTCCCAGCACTTGCCTCTGTTCATCTTCGCCTAAGCCTTCGGTATTTCCGTCGTCCGACTTGTCACCGCCCTCCTCGGTAGCCTTTGCTCCCAGTGGCTCGAGCTTCTTCTCACAATCAGCAGTGTCGTCTTGTAGACGCTGCAGTGTCTCAGCTTGGAAGGCGTGTACCTTCTCGAGCTGTACGTTTATTAGCTCCTCGACAAACTTGCTCTCGTCGTCTTCACTCCAGTCAGTATCGTCCTGGTCGACCGAACCCGTGGATGGGGAACCAGGTCGCGAAGGATCCTCCTTGAGCAAGACCTTGAGGCGATTGTAGTCGATGTACTTGTCTTTCCATGGTGGATAGATTGCGCGCTCGAGAGTCTTACCGTACCTCATTCTATCTGCTTTAGTGAATCAAGTCTACAGGATGGATGTAGCTGCCAACAACAAAGACGAAGCTCTGCGTGAGGAAAGGAGTGTGGTAAAAGCATATGTCAAGCGAAGAAAGCTTGAGTCTGCTCCGGGCTGAAGTAAGAAGCAGCCGCAGTCGCAGGGAAGAGCAGGCGAACAAGCTTTGCAAAATGCGCAGCGAGGTCCAGCCCGTTACGTCCTTGAGGAGCTCAGATCACGGACAAACGCACAAGCGGGCGAGAAAGAGACTCAGAGTAAGAGACATCAATAACTTTACGTTAGAGAATGGAGGCCCTTAACAACGAGGCCATTGACCAATCAGCAAGGCTCCACGGTGACACGTGCTACAGAGCGACTGAACTTAAGTCTACTCCCAGGAGTACTCGGTAACTTACTGGTAATTTCTAGCAAATTAGCCGCTGACGCCAGATCTGGATCGAATCGAGTCGACAAGCACTACACAGAGTAGTCCAAGTATGTAGTAAATTACGTCAAATTAAGTTAGTCATTCTGCTACTTGTATGCCTCCTACTCGCTTGCAGCTTGCTGGCTCAGCTGTGCCAGACCTCATTGAGCTACCTGGTCTCTGACTAAGCAGGGAATTCCTTGCTCGGCGCGGCTCCAGCCTTGCGTCGCGCTTAGACAACCGCGGCTAAGAATAAAAAAGAGTTCCGTGTTGCCGTCAAGCTGATGGCGCGCCAAAAGAATGATAACAATCCGCATGCTTTGAACTAACGCCATGACGCTACCGAAGTCCAGTGACGAGGCCCCATCCGTCTTGCCCGGCGAGCTAGTCCATCACCTTCAGACGGTCCTGCTAGATCTTCAGGCTTATCCTTACCCCGAGATCCCCAATCCTCAGGGCGTGCCGAAGCGTGCCAGCGTTGCAGTCATAATTCGCATCCGGCCTGATTACAGTCACTGGCCTGCTGCCTCGTCCCTCTCAGCACAATCGCGTCATGACTCTTCCATTGATGATCCCGCCGAAAGGATCAAGTCCTTCTTTAACCAGCCCTGGGTCCAGCACGGTGACCCTGAGGTCCTCTTCATAAAGCGTGCTGCTCGCAAGGGCGACAAGTGGACGTCGCACGTCGCCTTTCCAGGTGGCCGTCGTGACCCTGAGGATGCAGATGACGCAGCAGCCGCGGTGCGCGAGGCCAGCGAAGAGGTTGGCGTCGATCTCTCCACAGAGTTCGCAGTGCCGGCTGGAAACCTTCCCCAGCAGGTGGTGAGCGCTGAATGGGGCAAAGTACCGTACGCAGACTGACGGTCGTGGGGCCTGATGCATATGCCTTGGTTAGCTGACAACGCGTCTAGGCTGATGGTTTTGTGCCCATACGTGTTCCTTATGACTGCCCATTCGATACCACCTCTAAGGCTGCAGCCCACAGAAGTTGCCTCTGCGCACTGGGTGCCGCTGCGTGCGCTGCTCTCTCCAAAGCAGCGCACATTCTGGCTCCAGGACGTTTCGTCGCGCACTTCGCAGCAAGATTTTGGACTTACGCGCACTCTCCACCGTCTAAGCATCGGCGACATGATGTTCGCCGCTGTGCGACTCATTCCTTCCGAGTCCGTCTACTGTTCCAGCATCCCCGAATTCCTACCTCCCGAACCACTTCACTCTGAGCCCCTTTCCTTGAATTATACGGCCCCCCTTTGGGGGCGCGGTCGCCTTCCGCCTGCGCCCGCGGATAGCCCATTGCTTCTGTGGGGTTTGACTCTTGGCATAATGGGCGACTTCCTCGACATGATGCCTCCTTACAACGCGCTCCGTGCTTGGACATATCCTACTTTCACCACGCTCGATGTGAGAATCATTCTGCATCTGATGACGCATTGGTATAGGAAGGAGCGTGAAAGGGAGCTAGATGAGCATAAAATCAGCTTCCGGTCTGTGGAGGAGCTGGCCCATAAAGCGGGTCGACCAGCGGCTAGGCTAAGGTCGGACCAGAGAAGAAGCGATTCTAATAATGTGGGACTACTGTTGGCTGGATATTACAAATTAGTCAGAAGAGCGGTCTTGGTCACGTTTGTGGTGAGAGCGGTATCAGCGTCGCTCATCTTCGTCCTACTGTGGAAAAAGAGAAAGAACTCGTTGGTACAGAGATTGCTAAGTAGGCTGCTATGGCGGAGATAAGACATTTGGAATAGCTCCATATCGTTCATCTAATCCGTGGTTATTACGCTGCCACATGTCTCACGTGGCATGCCTGAGCACTAGCTCTACATGTATGTATAGGTGTTGCAGAAACATCACATGATCTCTCTCGTAAAAGATTGCATTTTGTGAAAACCAACCACAATATATACACAATAATATACAATATCATCGTAAGAACAAACTTTCATCAAAAAGTATATCTATTTATACTATTTTCCACCTCCTTTTGCTTCCTTGAACGCTGCACATTAGCAATCTTAAGGACTGCCTAGCTTTGGCTGGCCTTTCAGTGCGACAACAGGTCCTGCAAAAAACAGCACAGACCTTGAGATCAGGACTAAAATACCTCGCTTTCGAACCAGGCAAGTACAAAAGGCCTTTTGATCGCCATGAAGCCATATCCGAACCTAAGCATTGCTCAAATACAAGAAGCGACATCGCTAATAATTCGGCACCGCACTACGTCTGATCACCATCGCCACAGCAAATTTGCGTCCCGGTCTGCACGACTTGCACTTCACTCTCCGTTCGCTCTACAGTTTACCCGCTTAGATCAACCGGTGGATCCCCCCGGCATACAAGTATACGTCTCCTTCATTTCTTGCGTGGCATCCATTTCCACACGCGGAATTGGTTTGCGGTCGAACTCCTGCTTTAACGTCCATTATAAGCGAGTGGCCCGTTTGCCCCACCATAACGCGTCAATTATCTTTCAACAATCATGCAGCAATCAAAACTACAGCAATTATCTTATAATAAAGGTCAATTATTACTAGCGAAATCAGCAATCGAAAGAGGCCAAGTTCGGTCAGTCACACAAGCTGCAAAGATCTATGGTGTACCTAGAAAGACGCTTGCGCGACGCGTTGCTGGTACACCATCTCGACGCGATTATATAGCTAACTCAAAGAAGCTTACCTTCAATGAGGAGGAGACTCTTACTCAGCATCTAATTGACCTGGATTCGCGAGGATTTGGACCTGGCCTCCAAGAGGTAGCTGCTATGGCTAATCATCTGCTTACATCTCGTGGTGGTGGCCAGGTTGGCAAGCTATAGCCCTATAACTTCATACAAAGGACTCCTGAACGTAAAATGCGATTCAAACGAAAACACAATTATAAGAGAGCATTATATGAAGATCCTATGATCATCAGTACTTGGTTCAAGCTTGTACAAGATACGATAAGCAAGTACGGTATTATTAATCATGACATCTATAACTTTGATGATACTGGGTTCCAAATAGGTGTTATCTCAACTTCTAAAGTGGTTACTGTCATGGGGTCACCCCTATGACACGTGATTGGCACCATCCTGTTGCCTGTCTGATTAAAGCAGCACCGACATCAGCTAATATAAGAGAAAAACACCACAAACAGCAAGAACTCTAATTGTTGAAATTGAATCGTCCTACAGTACAAACACGTCACTCTGGAAGAATTGAGACCGTTAGTCAACGCAGCGCGTCACCCAACGCGTGTGGAACGCGAGATGACGATCCCATGGCCCCAGGAGGTGACATGGCCGACACCAGTACAGGAGCATGCTACTCGACTTACGGGGCACCTTCGGAACGTACTACTTCATCTCGATCGCGAAAGAGACCATCCAATAACCTCAGAAGAGATGAGAATAGTTATAATGGCTACAATCTCCTTGGTCGGAAAGGTTGCGAGGACCCCTGACATGACGACGGTGCATCAGAAGATAGATATCATACATACTGAGATGGCTCAGATCGCGAACGGAAGAACGATAGA